AATATGGGAATTTGGTTACACATAAAAGATGATGTTTATTTAAAAAAAAAACAAACTACAATACAACAAAACCCCAAGCCCCTGGCTGCCTTTCCTTTCTCTAACTCCCTTTTTTGGTGAATTACTAAACTGATTGACTTTCAGCCTTTTTGGCTAGATCCTGAGAGAGGCTGTTTTTCTTACTGATATACCAACATCTTGAAAGTTAAAAAAATCTAACGTATGAATGTGACTCACCAGTTTTTATCAATTCCTTTTTAAAATTAAAGGCATGCAGGGATTAACAAGGACTTCTGCTTAGAGTGGAAATCTGAAATGCAAGAATCTTTAACCTTGTGTATCTGTGCTCTCTCCTCTGTCTTAATCCACGCTCAGGTTAAAGATGGGGTAATGTGGAAATGGCAGTCGTCCCAGGGGTTGGTGCCCACAGGTCCCTGGGGATGGTCCCCAGATGAGATGGGGGTGTGGGACCAGGGCTGGCCCTGATCCACCTACCTGCTAACCCCAGACACATGTTGCAGACTTAAAAATAATCCTCTTTTTTGGAGAAAAATATTCTCACACGGGATAGATTTTTAACAAATGTGCACTAATATTACCTCCCTCTCCCAACCTCCTGCTGTCCTCACCCCACCCACCACTATAAAAAGTATTAAGTCACAAATTAAAAGAACAGACTTGCTTGTCCCCAGGGAAGGGACAGTGCCCCAAATTGTGGCGGGCACCTCACCTCCAGCTCCAAGGGCAGCTGACCGCCTGCTTGCCCCTGTCTGGTTCCAGAAGGAGCTCTGACCCTTAGCACTGGCACTGGAGAGATTAGAATGGTCGCTGGGCTGCTGAGAGGATGTACAGGCTCTAAGGGAGGACTGCCCATCCAGACATGCCGTCCTGAGGCCCCAGGAGCCACGTTCCCAAGTCCTTGACCACCCACCCTCTGCCAGAACCAAGGCCTGGTGCTGGGCCTCAGGGCTCCTGATGCCATTCAGGAAGGCTGGTGGTTGGGCCCTTCCTGCCTGGGGGAAGTGTGGGGGGCACGGTGGGATGCAGGGTGCTTGTCCAGGAAGGTGCTTTCCCTCAAATGGTGCGGGGCCTGGACCAGCCTTACAGGTCAGTAGACCATACTCAACTACTTGGGGTCAGTGATTCTTTTTTAACAGATAAGAGCCCTCCTGACAAGACTTTGAGGCCCCAACATGACAGCCACTGGGCCAGCAGAGCCCAAGAAGGCAGCCTATGCCTCGCCTCCCGGCATAGCCATTCTGAGTGCACATTGTCCCTGTTGCCCGCTGCACTGATCCTGAAACCACCGGCCGTGCTATGCGTGTTGCCATGGGCCAGTGTGCTCCCTCCTGATGGCCCCGTGGTGGCGGAAGTCATCCAGCCATTAATCAGTCCCAGGGGCCGGTGGCTGGTTTTGAACTTGTGTTGACTGTTGATACTTATTTACTGTATAAATATAATTTATCATTTGTATCATGATGCGGTTTCTGGCTGTGTCCTTCCCCTGCACGGTCTCTTTCAATCCTGTGCCACAGGACAGGGGTGGGCAGGCTAGGGAGCCAGTTCCTGCCCAGAAGCCAGCTCTGCCTACCACAAATGAAGCCACCAACCTGGTCCTGGTGCCCGTGTGAGCTGGGCACTTGGTGCCCTTGAACCTCGGGGAAGGCCTGCCCTTGGTGGAAGCGTTGGCCCCCATCCCCACCCCTTCCTGCGTCCACCCTTGCAGGGCCTGCACATCAGTGGAGTTGAAAGTGTGCCAGCTCCAAGGCCGGGGTTCCCACTGCCACCTGGTCAGCGGGTCTCAGAAGGAGCATGTGGAGGGAGCTGCCAGCCAACCTGCAGCCTCCTGGAGGAGTGACGGGTGGGGCACCTGTCACACAGCTTCACTGGCAATAGCTGGCTGGTGCAGAGGGCCCAGGCCCTCTCAGAGCCTGTGATCAGAGGAGGGCAGCGCTGGAGGACTGGAGCTTGTTTCCAGGCAGCAGAGGTGGAAGAGGTGTTCAACTGTAGGAGAAGGCAGGGCAAGGGTGGTCGGGGAGGTGCAGATGGGAAGGTGGGCGGAGAGGCCTGAGATGGGCTGGAGGGAGGACCTGGCCCTGTGCTCTGGCCTCTGCTCAGGCTGCCGCTCCCTGGACTGCCCTGCAGCCCATCTGCTCTCTGCTGAGCACATGGATCCCAGAGGCCACTCGGGTGAGTGGATGAGCCTGGCCCTGCAGGGCTCAGCCGGGGTTTGAGGGGGCCCGTTCTGCACAGGTGACAGGAGAAGAGGAGGGGTGTGTTGGGATGCTCCAGGCTATACTGCGGTAGCAAAGCTCCATGTCTTGGTGGCTTGACACAATATGAATTTGTTCTCACAGTGGGTGACTCAGGGACCCAAGCTGTTTCCATCTTGAGACACTGCCATCTTCCACAGACAGCCCTGAAGGCAGCTTTCAGAGGGAAAGACTGAGAAGGGTCAAGTGTGGGAGATTTCTTACATGACTGCCACCCATGGTCCAGCACCAGAACTGTCCCAGGTCCCATCCAGACGAGGAATGGGAAAACGCAGACGCCCTCTGTGCCCAGGGGACGGCAGAGAGGCTTGGTTCACATATGCCAGTTACTGTTGCAGCCGGTGTTCTTCCCACACACAGAACGTACTGTCCCACTGCGTCTCTGTGACCAGGTCAGAGTTCAGTGAGGGCCCAGGTCAGAGCCCAGCAGAGCAGCCCGTGAGGGGTCCAGGGCCTTTGCTTTGTGTAGTTGTTTTGTAATACAGGTTGAGCATCCAAAACGCTGGGGACCATAAGTGTTTTGGAATTTGGATTTGCTTGAATTTTGGAATATTTGCAAAATACATGCGGTTGAGCATCCCTAAATCCAAAAATCTGAAACCCAAAATGCTCTGATGAGCATTTCCTTTGAGTGTCATATCAGTGCTCAAAAGTTTCAAATTTGGGAGCATTTCAGATTTCTGGGTTGGGACACTCAACCTGTGTAAGTGATGTGGCGATCCTGTAGAGGAAGAAGACTCATGGTGTGGGAAGGAGGGAGAACCCCCTTATGGTGGACACCTGTGAGAAGCCAGAGGGCACAGGGTCTTGTACACACCTGAGGGGCAGCCTCTCAGGAGCAAACACAGGCTGGCCGTGGAGGTGCTGGTGGGAGTCTGAGGGAGCTCTTCGTGGAGGGGCAGGGAGTGCACTGAAGGTTTGAAGAGAAAAGGTGTGAGTTTTCTCAGACTGCAAAAGGAAGTTGTCTGAGGAAGTAGACTGGGACTCTGGTGGCATTGAGGGCCACATGAGAGCTGGGCCACGGACCGACATGGGCCAGTCAGCAGGCCCTGGTGCCCAGGAAGATGCAGAGCAGACTGTCACAGGGCGAGGCCTGCACAGCGAGGTTGGAGAAAGGAGGAGAGGCTCAGAGAAGCGCATGTTGAGTGACACCATGACTTACCAACTGGATGGGAAGAAGCAAGGAGAGGGGCTGACAGGCGGTGAGGAGGGGGCTGGCCAGTGGCTCGGAGGTTCCGAGTGGAAGGAAGGACTGATGGAATGGGGACCGTGGGAAAGGGCCGCGTGGGGGTCAGGTAGTGGTGTGCGAGAGGGAAGCCTGGATCCAGATTTTGGAGTTGGTGCAGTCACAGTAGCAACAAGTGTGCTGTATGGGCTTGGGTGGCTGTGAGGAGTAGAGGTCAAGATATTGCAAGTGAGGAGGTTGAGGATGAGGCCAGGTTGTTGGAAGGATCATCCACATGGACAGCGATGTCACAGAATAGCTGGAGCAAAAGATGGTGAGCAAGGTAGTTAATCAGGTCTTTGGCAGATGCCAGTAGCTGGTGACGTGGTCTGCTGGCTGGGGCTTCAAGAAGCTGGGATGGGCAGGGAGGAGGGAAGCAGTCTGGAAATGCTCATGAGGGGCAAGGACCCCCAGCCCCCCATCTCTAGACTGTGGTACACGGGAGGAAAGAGATGCTGCTGAAGAGGGCTGCAGGGGACAGAGTGGGCTTCAGTAAGGGCCAGAAGGTACAGGGAACTTTGCATTCAGAGAAGATGGTCAGAATCGCAGCAATTTTGCTGACAGACCAGGAGTTCCAGAACGCAGTGAGCTGGGGGCAGGGGATGGGAGTGCGCTGTAAGTGACATAAAGGGTAGAAGAGGGTCAGTTTGGATGGCCTTGTAGGGAAAGTTCCAGTGACAGCCCAGGGCAGCATGTAGTGGTGAGGCTAGTGGGCCTCAGGCTGGGCAGTGGGGCATGCCAGTTGCCTGGGGCATGGCACATTTTGGCTTCCCTTCAGCCCCGCTGTGGGTCGTGTCCAGCCTAGGGCATTATGCTGCGGAAAGCTCTGTGGCAGGGCAGGGAGAGTGCCGCAGCCCGCGCATAGAGGGTGCCCTGAGGCTGCCTCGTGCTGTGCTGGGCGAGTGCGTGGAGATGGCGAGGCCTAGCACCTGCAGTAGTGCCGCAGGGACTTGTGTGCTGAGGGCTCAGATCCCAGAGTGGCCTGGGACCAGCTGCGATGCCAGGGTGTTGGGCCGAGGAGCTTGCCAGAAAGCTGGGGTCCAGTGTTGCCACCCACCTCTGGAAAGTTTCCAGCCCCCATCCTTGGGCTGCAAGAGGAGGCAGGCAGAGACCAGGCTGGGAGTCTGTGTCCCCAGGGCACCTCGCCATCCAGCTCTCACTAACAGAATCCTCTCCTTGCCAGGGAAGGCTGGCAGTCATGGAACACATTAGCGCTACCAGGGCCAGGCGAGTGATTCTACTTCACTCCAAAGCCTCCGGGTGATGTGCTCACTTTAGGGGTGAGTGTGTTGAGGTGCAGAAAAGACCACACAGCTGTTAGTGGCACAACCAGGGTTATGTCAAAGCTCATGTCCTAGTTGGCCATCCCAGTGTGTGGTCTCCTGGCAGCTTCCACCCCTGCACAGTACTCTGCAGGGTTGGGGAGGAGGGACGGTGCACCCAGCCCCCGTGGCCTGCTCCCATGGGAGACGTGCTAAAGAGGAAAGAAGGCAGCCCCAGGCCAGGGCTCTGAAAACATGACACTTTATTATATAAAACTGTCCCCCGCAGCGCCCCTGCCCCTGCTTCCACCACCAGGCTGCACTTTGGGCTGATGGGTCAGTGGCCAACTCCAAAAGAGCCTTTCCCAGAGGCTGATGCCTTCACCGGGGGATGCCCTGGGGCAGGCTGGGTCCCAAGATTCCCTGTGTGTCTGCAGGCCCAGTGTCGTAGCCCAGCTTCCTCATGTCCTTGGTCACCACGTTGAAGAGGAGGGTGACAAAGCCCTGAGAGCGGACACGGGTCACTGGAGACAGAAGGATAGGATTGGCTGGGCTGGGGCAGACACACACGTAGGCTGCTTTGAGACAGCCTCAGCCTTCTCTTCTGTAAAGTGGGGACGACCGGCCCATGTCCCTCACTGGGAGGTAAAGGGCTCCAGTGGGAACAGACATGGTAACCTTCTGTGCTCTGACCAGGCCTTCATCTGTGACGTGCTCCAGGAAAATTCTTGGGCCGGCTCCTGCAGTAGTGGTTCCCAGGTGCCCCAGAGGTCCCCATCTGTTCCCTGGAGGCCCACCTAGTCCCTCCCCAAGCTCCAACCTGCTTGTGGGGTGGGGATGGCATTGGGGAGCATCAAGCTTTACCTTCCCGGCCTTCACCCTGAGCCACCACCTTGGGATCTGTGTACTCGGGCCGCCGTCCCATGAACCAGCTGGGAACACAGGAGAACATGGGTGAGCAGGGCCCTGCCTGGGTATTCCTGGCCTCAGACACTGGATGTGGACTCTCCTTGTTTCAGAAACCAGCATCCCTTCTCCAACCCCTCCCCCAGGGGCCTGCCTGCCCTGTGCCCATCAGAAGGGCAAAGCCAGGCACCAGAGTAGTGTCATCCCTTGTCTGGGTCTGGTGGCCAGTGAAGGCCTGGCGGGGTTCTGCGGGGCCTCAAGTGCTCCGCAGCCCACTCCTCAGCTGGAGTGGCAAGCTCTCCCTCCCAGTCTCTCATGGGTTGGACTCGCAGGGGATGAAAGATAAGGGAGATTTGGGGTTGGGGTGGCGATACAGCCTGAACCCAGCTGGGAATCCCAGAAAGGTGACAGCAGATGAGGTGGGGGAATGGCAGGAGGGGACACTGACCCCCCAGCCTCCCCAGGAAGGACAGCCCCACCCCAGAGTCCATGGGGTGGGCAAAGAGGCCAGATCTGGGCTCCGAGCTTTGCCTCTTAGTAGTGTGGGGTCCACGACAAGTCACTTCTCATCTCTGAATCTCCACTTGTCAACTGTGCGATGAGGATAATGATGGCGCCTACCTCGGGGGGCTGTGGGGTGAGGGCAGTCTGTCAGCTGCCGTGAAAACACTGCCCTTCCTGGGTAGGTCTGGCCCTGGGCCATCTGACTCCACGGTCAGCCCTGCTGTGGGCACCGTGGGGCTCAGTAGGGTCCCAGGGGAGCCCCAGGCCCGGGTGTGCAGGCCACGCCTCCGACACACCCACTCAAGCCTGAGACAACAAGGTGCACTGTTCCCGGCTGGGCAGGTCCCCGCAGTCGCGGGCTTCATCCCCAGGGTGCCAGGAAGAACTTGTCGCCTCTGCTGGGCAGGGACAGCTCCCATGAAAACACAACCCCCAGGACGGCCCGGCCCACAGTGGCTCCCAGCGCGGGGGGCACAGATAAGGGCTGCAGGTAACCCTGACAAGGCAACGCCCCACCCCCGCTGCCCAGCATCTCTCCCCTGACTGACAGGAGTCACGGGGAGGGGAGGGGCTCCTGCTGGAGACGACAGTGAGGGAGCACTGCGTGCTGACTCCTGGCCCGAGGAAGGGGACCCAGGGCTCTGGCCAGGAGCTGTGCATTCCAGATGGGGACTGGATGGGCGGGTCCACCCTCTCTGTGCCTCAATTTCTCCATCCGTGTACCAAGGCCCTAACTGCACCCACCTCCCAGGTGGCCACGTGTAAGGACTGAGGCCCAGGAAGCAGTCCCCACCATGCCCACAGGCCCTAAGTGCTAATGCACAGAGCTGCCATCCTCCTTGCATTTCTGATTCTCTCCTGGGGCCCACAAGGGTGTCTGCTCATCTGACTGGGGTGGATATCCGGGGCAAGGGCCGCAGGCAGGGAAGGACCCAGTGGGCTGGAGAGACCAAGGCAGGTGAGGAACAGGGCAAATGGAAGCAGGCAGGAGAGAGGCCGTGAAGTCAGCAGGGCCCACAGCCTGGGGCCTTGTAGCTTTCTGGTCGAAATTAACCCTAAATGCCAAGGGATGTGCCTGGGCTGTTTCTAGCAGGGGAAGGGCATGGCCTAAATTGTCTTTTGGGTATACCATTTTTGTTATTATGTGAAGACTAGGTTGCAGGGGCTGCGGTAGGATGAAAAAAGGCCCTGCCCAGTTGAGAGCCCCTCTAGAGGGCTGGAGGTGGCCCCCGCCCCAGCTGCTATCCCTCAGGCACTCTGCAGGCTGCAAGGCCTTGCTCCTTGAGCACAGAACCCTCTCCTCAGCGAGTGGTCGCCTGGAGCTGTGGGACATGGAGCAGTGTGCACCACCTGGCCAGGGTGGCGGTGTGGACTCTCAAAGCACCTAACCTGCCCCCAGTCCATAGACACACACTA